AACGTCGTTGTAAATGCTTTAGTGTTGTGTTTTTTATTCAACTCATGGACTCTGCCATTTTTGACAATAGGGAATGATCATTCAATCTCCTCCTCCTGTTAGTTGTTTAATTGTACACACCATCCACAACTGGATGTGGCAGAACTGCAGAGTTTTGTGTCTAATGTATGCTGTTTCTGCATGTTCAGCATGCACTTGGCTTGTGTTGTAGCTCCAAAAGGTTCACGTCTTATTTTTAGAATTGCCAAGTGCTGCTGTTAACATGCTGCATCACACTTCTTAAATCAGGATTGATCCCTGAGTTTGATAATGGTAATTTGAGGGATGTGCTGGGCCTTCAGTTTATGGATTTTGTTGAAAACCAATCTGTTGCTTCTGAAGCCCTATAGCAATGTCATATGTAGCCAGTTTTGCACTGAATATAAGAAGTAGGAGCAGGAGTACACCATTCAGCCCCATGGGAATGCTCCACTGTGTAGTACGATCATGGCTGACATTGTGCCTAACTCCAGTTTCAGGCCTTTTCCAAAGCCCTTGATTCCTTGAAAGACCAAACATAGGTCTATTTAAGCCATAACTATGCATAACAGAGGAATATCCATAACAATTTCTCAGATTCACAATCCTTTGAGAAATTTCTCCTCTCCTCAATCCTTAATGTCTAATCCTTTATCTTGAGCTTGAACCCCCTAATTTTAGACTCTCCAGCCAGGAAAAGTAGCTTTTCACCATTTACAGGGAGGCGATGGCCTAGTGACATTATCGCTGGACTGTTAATCCAGAAACCAGATAACGTTCTGGGAACTGGGGTTCGAATCCTGCCATGGCAGATGGTGGAATTTGATTTTAATAAATATCTGGAATTAAGAGTCTGATGATGACCATGAATCGATTGCCAATTATTAGTGAACCAGATGGGTTTTTCCAATGTCCTTTTAGGGAAGGAAACTGCTAGCCTTACCTGGTCTGGTCTACGTGTGACTCCAGGTCTACAGCAAAGTGGTTGACTCTTAACTGCCCTCTGGGCAATTAGGGATGGGCAATAAATGCTGCCCAGCCAGCGACACCCTCATTCCGTGAATGAATAAAGAAAAAAAAACTCATCACCTCTCTCAGAATCTGTTTCAATGCAATCACCTCTCATTTTCCTAAACTCTGGAATACTTTACAGGCACAATTTACTTATCTTCTTATCACATCACAACATTATCTGAGGATCAAATTTAGTTAACCTTCACTATATTGCCTTCAGTGCAAGTACATCCTTCCTTGGATATAGAGACCAAAACAATGCACAGTACTCCTGACGTAGTCTTTTCAAAGCCAAATGCACTCATAGCAATTTTACTCCAATCAGTTTGTAATAAAAGCTAGTATGCCACTTACCTTCTTAATTGCTTGCTTACCTGTGTACTAACTTTGTGTTCCTGGTATAAATGCACCCAAAATCCCGCATATTGATATTCAGAAGTTTCACACCTTATCAAAATATCTTGGTGTAAGATCTAGTCTGATTTTATCCCACTAAATATGGTGCTCGTGCCATGAGGTGTCCACACTGAAGAAGACATTCTCCATTTGGACCCTGTTGTTGTACACAAGCTATCATGGATAGAAGATCTATGATGGATTAGGTTAATGAAGACAGTGTTAGAGGTTTTATCCTTGTATTAGTTACCTTCTTACCTGCAACATGTCCAGTTTGGTACATGGGTCCTTCAGGTTTCAACCAGCTCAGTCAGTAGTTGTGCTACCAAGGCTTTTTTAATAGTAGTGTTGAAGTCACATATCCAGATTATAAGCCTGTCCTCTTGCTACCTTCAGCATTTTTTCCAAATAGTGCTGTGTGAAGGAGTACTGATTTATCAACTGAAGAAGGGTGATATATGGCAATCAAAAGGTTGCCCTTGTTCAGCTTAACACCATGAAACTTAATGGAATACAGAGTTAATGTTGCAAACTCCCAGAGTTACTTACACTTCATTGCATATCACTTTTGCCACTTCCTACCTAGGTCTGTTCTGCTGAAGATCAGGATGTATCCAGGTTAGTTTTTGGTTTAATTTGTTATTGTCACACGCATTGAGATACAGTTAAAAAGTATTGTTTTGCATGCTATCCCCACAAATCGTACCTAAGTAGTTCAAGGAAATAGAACAGAATGCAAAAATAGTGTTACAGCTACAGAGAAGGTGCAGAGAAATCTCAATTTTAATATGAGAGGTCAGTTCATAAGTCTGCTAACAGCAGGGAAGAAGCTGTTCTTAAAACTGTTGATATGTTTTCAAACTTTCATACTTTCTGCTTGATGGAAGAGGGTGGAAGAGAGTATAACCGGGTTGGGAGGGGTCTTTGATTATGTTGGCTGCTTTCCTAAGGCAGGAGGAAGTATAAATGGAGTCAATGGAAGGAAGGCTGGGTTTCATGGTGGACTGGGCTACATTCACAACTTTCTGTAATTTCCTGCAGTCTTGGGCAGAACTGTTCCATACCGAGCTGTGAGGCATCCAGATAGGATGCATCTATAAAAATTGATAACAGTCATTGTGGATATACCAAATTGGGACACTGGTTGAAAGGAACGATTTTGTTGTTTAACCTAACTATGGGACAACCATCCTAATTTTGGCATATGACTCCAGATGTTAGTGAGAAGGGCTTGCAAGATTGACTGAATTGGTTTGGCCATTGTTTTGTCCATTGCCTAGATTGATTGTAATCCCTCTGTTTTTATTTGTATTAGACCTACACATACCAGCTTGATACAACCAAGCAGAGAGAAAATCAGCAAAGCTTGTTTCTTTAGAACACTTCCAAAACTCCTGCTTAAAAGTGCATATATGTAGATTTTTTAACCTGTTCAGAGCTGTTATTACACACCTTTTTGAAGCAGGTGAGATTTGAACTCCAACTCTTTGGCTTTTTGAGGCCGGAACATTCCCACTGCATCACAAGAGCCCCTCGTGTGGATGTAAGTGAAGACAGAACTGAGTGCATCTGTGATGCATCGCCAGAGCTCAGTTGCTGTTGATGCTCATACCTTTTAAGAAACTGCACAGGAAAATTACAAAGATAGCAAGGACCCTTAATGTCACACACTTCTTTTGTTAAGTGTGGCAAGAGGGCAAAAAAAAAAGTAAGGTACTGAGTGGGGAGATGCAGTGCTGTTCACCAGATGGCAAGTGCTTTTTTTTTCACAAAACAACTTAACCCTGGCCCTTTTGGCACGCTGACCCTAGCAGCCCAGAGCGAGAGCAGCATCAGGAATTCAGAGTGGAGGCAACAATCACAATCTGTGACAAATATACCATATTGCTCATTTATTCATTATTTCTTTAAGCGTTTTTCTCTTTCTTGTCAACCTGAGTCTTTAATTTTAACAAAGTGTTGTTTGATTAAACGATTGCAAACTTGAGCATGTTGCAAGTTGCAGGATAAATAAAGCCCTGAAATGAAGAGAAGGTCAAACATATTAGAATAAACCAGGAACATACGGATAAGAACATCTGTTTATACTACATTGCAATTGAAAGTGTCATGCAAGGTAGACAAACAAATGTAGAGATTAACAATCCAGTCACGAAAAGGAATAGATACAAGAAGTTCCCAGCTTACTTGACAGCACAGTTTTGTGTTATTTATTCGGTAACTTTGTGTTAATTAGGGTCTGGTTATGTGCTAGTTTTCAACAGCTGTATGTTGGCTTGAAAGACATGACTTAGGTTTAACGTGACCATTATATAAAGTAATTTTCATTTTTATCTGACCCATCCTTGTTCCTTAACCCAAACCTTGAAAGAGCACCTCCATAGACACCAGTGAGACTACTATCAAAGTTAACACTTTCAACTCTTAATCAGAAGGTTGATTCATCAGCGCAAATATTTAGCCTGACTCTCCAAAGCAGTGCTGATAGAGTTGCATTGTCAGAAGTGCTGTTATTTTGTTGAGACGTTAAACTCATCGTCCCCCTCGGGTGCACATAAACATGGAATTGTTTCAGACAGCAACTGGGAAGATATCCTGTTGTCCTAGCCGTTATTTGTCTCTTGATTGTAACTCACATTGTAATTTGTGGGGGCTTCTGCATGCAAATTGGCTGCAATATTTCCTAAATTAAACTAGTTACCATAGTTCAAAAACACTGCGTTAGCTCTTAAGCACTTTAAAATGTTCTGAGATCCTGACCGGCACGATATAAATCTAAGTATTTTTCTCCACTTTCCACATCAGCTGCGTTTTGTTATTCTGAGTTGAGGCAGACCCTAACTAACTTTCGAACAGGCCTATTCTAATTAGAAGATAACTTGCTGATACTGGTTCAGTGTCTCCTCTGTGGGCTGTGCAGAGAGACCTTTTTCCCTAGCCACACATTACTACCTCATAATCATTCCATTAGATTTTCAGAAGCAAGTTTTATGATGTGTAGTTAGATAACATGTTGCTTAATATAAGGATTTGCTGAATTAGTTCACAATTGTAATTGCCGTAAAGGGAACTGATTCATCTGTTACTGCTGTATGTTACTTATATTTAGGGTTTATCGCCCCTGAAAATGTGGGAGCAGGCATTGTTGTGGAGAATCGTCCCCATATCACTTTATAAATGGGATGTTAACGATCAAGGGTTTCACTGATGGTAATGGTGTTGACTACCAAGGGATGTTAGTTAGTTCCCCTTTTGAAGGAGATGGTCATTGCCTGTCATTTATATGGCACAAGTGTTACTTGCCACTTATCACCCAAAGACCAAACGTTTTCTAGCTCTTGCTGCATACAGGAAGAGATTGCTATCGTATCTGAAGAAGTGCAGATGGTACTGAACATTGTTCAACCATCAGCAAACATCCCCACTTCTGACCTTCTGTTGGAGTGAAAGTCATTGTTAAAGGAGCTGGAGATGATTGGTCCTGATTCAGTATCATGCAGCAAAAGAGTTTTTGTGGCACTGTTGTATTGTCCCTGCCTCTGAGCCAGGAGACCTGGGTTCAAGTCCCACTCCCTCCAGTGGTGTGTTTATAATGCTTTGAACAGGTTGATCAGGAAAATATCTACCTTGCAACAAAAGCATTCTTGTGGCAGGGGAGTATCCCTGCCTCTGAGTCAAGAGGCCTAGGTTCAAATCCCATCTACTCCAAAGGTGTGTAATAACATTTCTGAACAGGTTGATTAGAATATATCTACTCTGAGGCAATATCGTGGGCCTGAGGTATTTGGCCTCCAAGAACCGAACCTTTTTCATGTCTGCCAGTCTTTACTCGGACAAGTGAAGACTTTGATTTTGTTGAGACTTCTTGATTCCCCTTCACAACTGGAATTCAGGACCTCTAAGGTCTAGAACTGATTGCTTATGACAAAATGTAAAGTGAGTAGTGGTCAGCAGTGTTGTTGTGGAAGTATCGTTTAATAACACCTGTTGACAATATTTACCATAGTTTTGCTGATGATTGAGAGTGAACTGAGGGTGCAGGAATTGGCCAGAATTTGTTTACCTTATTTTAGTTTTGTGGCCACACAATTTCTGGGCAGTTTTCCACACTGTCAGATAAATATCTATGTTGTAGCTTTATTGGAACATCTTGGCTAGGACTATTGGTAGTTCTAGAGTGCATGCCTTAGTAACCCATATGTTTCATGGCCCATTTCCATTCCCTGTGCCTTCAGCCAATCCTTGATATACATAGAATATATTGGATTTGCTGAAGACTGGCATCTTTTAAGCTGGGAACCACAAAAGTCCTGGAAAGATCATCCACTCAACTCTTCATAGTGCATGCATTTGCTTCAGCTTGTCGTTCACAACGATTCCTGTGCATCCCCATCATTGAGAATGTGTAGTTTTTTTTTTGTGGAGGCTCCTCTTCAGGGTATTTGACTTGTCCGTCACCATTCATGACTGGATGTGGCAGGACTGCAGAGCGTTAATCTGATGCATTGCTTGTGAGATTGTTTAACTGCCTTTTACACGTTGTACCATTCCCACATTATCTCACTTCAGGTGGGCGTAAAGATTTCCATTGCTAGTTCTACCAAAAAGCAGATTATTGGTTATTGGATTGGTCTTTATAGGGGCTTGTTGTATGTGAAGTTAGTTGCTGTGTATCGTATGTTGCAATGGTGATGACCCTTCAAACTACTTGATTATCTTTAAAATGCTTTGGGACACTCTACAATAGAGGATGGTGTTGCACAAATGGAGATCTTTCTGTTCCTGACCTTCCCACCTATTACATACAGGAATTGAAAGATAGTAAGCATCAATAAGGGAAACCCTCGCCTGAGTTTAATTTGTCCTTCTAACCTAAAGTATGTGGTCCAACAGCATTTCTCCCATCGATCTGCCTGTAAGTAGCTAATAGCATAAGCTGAGGTGTGAACCTGGAAAATGGCTGCAGTGTGTAGCCCAGTCACTTGTAAGTTGGTGCATATACCAGATTTCTAGTTTTGTTTTCAGTTGTTAATTGCCCTTGCTTGTTTAACTTTTCCAACTCTAATTGTGAGCAGTAAAAGTGAACAGTGGATGAGATGGCAACTCTGCTGTACAATGCATCCTTTTAAAATCATCTTCATTCATTCATAGTGCAGGAGATACACACCCTTGTAACAGGCTATTTGAACTATTTTTATATATATTTAAATGTAATGTGCCATTACTCTTCACTTTCAGTGCAGCTGCCAACCTCCAGAAGGGTGGTGCAAAGAGAGAATGGTGGCTGGAGGGGTGGAGATTTTGCTGTAACCCTGTGGAAAACGAGCTAGCAGAAACAGCATTTAAGAAGGAAAGAGGTAGAAAGGGGGTTATTTTTCTATTCCAGTCATTCATTTCTCCTCTAAATGGGAACAGGTTAGTAAGCCCATCAGGAAGACTGCAGCTTTGAAATGTCAGTTGAGTTGCATTGACTATTCTGTAAACAGAAGGCTCTTTACAACACATGAATGAATATCAACAATTAATCCTTGTGTATCAATAATTAATGAGATTGCATCAAAAATGCTTCCATTGGATGAGCAAATGCTTTAACGAGTCACTATGAAAGATGACCATATGGATAAGCTTCCAGAGACTTTGGTGGTAATACATTGATAAAAATGGCTTGAGAAGAAAAATTACAAATGCACAACTTGAAAGAGGAAATGCAATTCTAGTTTTGTTTGATAGTCTTGTGAAAAGTTGCTCTGTAGCCTCATAACCCAGGTTTAATTATAGTCTGTCAATTTTAATAGAACAGTCATTTCAATTTGTGTTGGTTTGTCTAGGATCATCTCCACAGTGGAAGTCTGGTGAGCCAATGAAGACCAGAACAAAGCTACAAACGCTGAGTTCATCGTAATTACTGAATGTGAAAAACATTATCCGAGTATCAGATTCTTGGCATATTGGATAATTTCATTAAAAACCGAAAGAACTGCGGATGCTGTAAATCAGGAACAAAAACAGAAGTTGCTAGAAAGGCTCAGCAGGTCTGGCAGTAACTGTGAAGAAAAATTCAGAGTTAACGTTTTGGGTCCGGTGACCCTTCCTTAGAACTGGATAATTTCTTTGTTCATTTAATCTCTGAAATGTGCTGCCATCAACTGCCAAGTAGCTTGTCTTCTCACTGAATTGTGCTGATTTGCAAATGAAGTGAAACCCATTAACAGATGCATTGTCTTTGGGAACAGGTAGTGGCAGTTTTGCCACCCAGATTGGAAGATTTCAATTTACAGTTTGACAATACAGTGGATAAGAGCCTTGTATTCTTATTAAGAAAAACAGTGGAATTACTGTACAAAGGCCAGGACATAGACAAGTGCCTGCAGCTCTGTCAGACTATTGTGGATTTCTCTTGGGAGAAGCTCAATATTGGAACTTGGAGGGAGGTGGATAAGGAGTGGAGGAGGGTGTATTCTCATGGCTGTCTGTTTAAAGCTGTTTGTTTGTGCAAGGATGAAGCAACAGTTAGTGAGGCAATAAAAACTTGTGACATGGGTTTGTTGATGGGGGCAATCATATTGGACAACATTCTCAACAGACTGGTCAGAGTTCTTCAGAGGTACAACACTGCTGGGAAAAGGCCTTTAGAAGATGCTGCATGCTATCAGGAATCAAGCAGAAAGGTACTGTTTATATTCAGCCACTTGTCTCTATATTTAGAAAATGTTAAGAATGGAGAGAACAAGCAGACAATTCAGTAAGTATTTTTGCCATTTAAATCTCATAATGGTGGGGCCTGGAATGGGTGGTACATTAGAATAATAGTAACGGGAGGGAAGACTGCTGTGTGTACTAAATCGGAAGGGAAATGAGAATGAGATAGTTTCACAACACAAGTATAAGGCACTGTTGCCCATAATGCGATACTAATTGGTTGTAAAGTGAGGAGAGAAGTGAAATGATGGGCGGTACTGGAAATGGAAATGGAAAACTGCAGAGTGACTTTCTTATTAACAATCCCAAACCTAAGAATTAACTTGCTTTGCTTTATAGCGAGTTATTAAACTGGAAAGGATGCAAAAAAGATTTACAAGAATATTACTGAGATAGGAGGGTTTGAGTTAGGAGGAGAAGCTGAATAGGTTGGGACCTTTTTTCCCTGGAGTGTAGGAGGTTCAGGCATGAGCTCATAAAGATTTATAAAGTCATGAGGGGCATTGATAAGGTGAATACCCAAGGTCTTTCCCCCAGGGTAAGGACTTCCAAAACTAGAGGGCATAGGTTAAAGCTAAGAGGGGAAAGATTTAAAACTGACCTGAGAGGCAGCTGTTTCTCCCAGAGGGTGGAGCGTATATGGAACAAGCTGCCAGAGGAAGTGGTAGAGGTGAGTACAGTTACAACGTTGAAATAACATTTGGACAGGTTCATGGATGGGAAGGCTTTTGAAGGATATGGGCCAAACGCAGGCAAATGGGACTAATTCAGTTTAAGAATTCTGGTCAGCATGGACAAGTTGGGCCAAAGAGCCTGTTTTTGTGCTGTATGACTGTATAGAACAACATCTTTCCTAGGGAGGCTAGAATTGAATGCTGTATTCCAAAAGTGGCCTCACCAAAGGGATGTCATGTTGCGACTGTACAGAACAATGTCAGTATACTCAATGCATTGATCAATAAAGGCAAGCGTACCAAACGCCTACATCACTACGCTCTCTATCTGCTACTCCACTTTCAAGGAACGATGAAGCTGCACTCTTGTGTCTGTCTGTACGTCAATACTCCACAGGACCCTACTATTAAGTGTTATAAGTCCTGGCCAAAATGGAAACCTCACATTTATCTAAATTAAACTCCATCTGCCACTTCTTGATCACTGTTCAAATTATACCACCAATTTTGATGTCATCTGCTAATTTAATAACCATTCCTCGTATATTAACATCCAAATCATTTATATAAATGACATAAAGCAGAAGACCCAGCAAAACAACCCTCTGTCTTCTTCCTTCAGGCCAATTTTGTGTCCAATGACTGGCTCTCCCTGGATTCCATGTGATCTAACCTTGCTAGCCAGTCTACCATGCAGAACCTTGTCAAACGCCTTAGAATCATAGGATCCATACGGTGTGAAAGCAGGCCATTCAGCCCATCAAGAACACACTGGCCCTCCAAAGAGCAGCCCACCAAGACTCCCCTCCCCCATCCTAACCCTGCATTTCCCTTGGCTAATCCACCTACCCTGCAGGTCCCTAGAAACTATGGACAATCTAGCATGGCTAATCCACCTAATGTGTACATCTTTGGACTGGGGAAGGAAACCTGAGCACCTGGAGGAAACACATGCAGACACAGGGAGAACATGCAAACTCCACACAGTCACCCAGGGATGGAATCAAACCCAGGTCCCCGGTGCTTGGAGGCAGAAGTGCTAACCACTGAGCCACCATGCCATCTCTTGTTTTTTGTTTGAAAATAAATGTCCTAAGTATAATTATTTAGGAAAGAAACAAGTTTCATAATTTATTTTCATCTGTTCTAGTGCTATTTGCTGGAGAATGATTTCAACTAGAGAAAAGAAAACAAACACTGGATTTCCCAGAAATATCTCAGCATTCTTTAACCTTTGCAATCCGCAGAAAAAATAATGCAGCCCAGATTAGTTTCCTCAAAGCAGTCCACTGTTCGCATGGTTCAAAAATGTCATGCTGTTTTAAGAGATGCATTTTCTGGCCTCCAATTTGACAAAGACTGTTTGCATTATCAACACCAACTTTAGCGCTAACAAAAACTTTTAATACCTCTTCTAAATCCCAATCAATTTCAGAGAAGTGGATAAAACAAAATTTTCATTTTGGTTAGGTTCTGTGATTTAAAGATTCCATGTTTGGGAAATTATGGATGTCACTGGACCATTACTAAGAAACACATGTAAAGCCTTCCTCTGATAGTTTAGCTGATAGGTAAGCGGCTGAACACTACAAATCCAGAAAGAAAAGTGCAATACCTGGTCTGTGCTAATAATCTTACCTGGTCAGTCTAACACAGAGACCATCAGCATTAACAGCATGGTTATAAGAAAAGGATAAGGGCAGTACACTATGACAATGGTTCACCTTCTGAGCCATTAAAACATCTCCACCATCTGCAAGACTAAAATTACAGGAAGAAGGCATTTAACTTTGGCATAGCTCAACAAGTTCAGCACTCTTCTTTTGAGAATCCAGGCAGTGAGGCTGAGCTGGCCACACTAACCAAGATGTGATGTCTTCAGAGCTATACCTCAACATGTCTCCACACGTGGATACTTGACAGTAGACGCTTACAAGATGGCAACCAAGTACAGGTTATCCTAAAGAACATCTAACTTGTTGAAGTCCACGTAGAAATCGTCCACCATTCTGCCTTCATCAATCTTCTTTGTCACTTCTTCGAAAAACTCAATCAAGTTAGACATGACATCCCACGCACAAAGCCATGTTGGCTATCCCTAATCAGTCCTTGCCTTTCCAAACGTGTAAACTCTGTCCCTCGGAACCCCTTCCAACAAATTTCCCACCACTGACGTCTCACCGGTGTATAGTTCCCTCGTTTTGTCTTGCCACCTTTCTGAAATAGTGGCATCACATTAGCCACCCTCCAGTCTTTCAGCACTTCACCCATGGCTATGATACAAATATCTTAGCAAGTGGCCCAGAAATCACTTCCCTAGCTTCCCACAAAATTCTAGGATACACCTGATTAGGTCCCGGGCATTTGTCTATCCTTTATACATTTTAAGACATCCAGCACCACCACCTATGTAAAGTGAACATTTTTCGCGATATTACTATCTATTTCTCCAAGCTCACTAGCTTCCAAAGCCTTCTCCACAGTACATAACAGCACAAAATACTCACTTAGTATCTCACCCATCTCCTGAGGTTCAACACACACATGACCTCATTGCTCTTTAAATGGCCCTATTCCTCACGAGTTACACTTCTACCCTTAATGTATTTGTAGAATCTCTTTGGCTTCTCCTTAACCCTATTTGCCAAAGCTATCTCATGCCCCCTTTTTTGCCCTCCTGGTTTCCATCTTCAGTTTACTCCGACTACCCTTGTATTTCTCTAGGGATTCACTTGATTCCAGCTGTCTATACCTGACATATGCCACCTTGTTCTTGACCAGCGCCTCAATTTCTCTAGTCGTCCAGCATTTCCCACACCTACGAGCCTTGCCCTTCTCACTGGCAGGAACATTCTGCCTTTTGGACTCTCATTATCCTGTTTTTGAAGGCTTCCCACTTTCCCACCTTTTACCTGTGAATAGCCTCTCCCAATCAACTTTTGAAAGTTCTTGCCTAATATCGTCAAAATTGGCCTTACTCCAATTTAGAACTTCAGCTTTTAGATCAGGTCTATCCTTTTCCATAGCTATTTCAAAACTAATAAAATTATGATCTTTGGCCCCAAAGTGCTCCCCCACTGACAACTCAGTCACTTGCCCTGCCTAACTTCTCAAAAGAAGTTTATTCTTTTATTCCTCCTCTAGTAGGTACATCCACGTATTGAATAAAAAAAATCTCTTGTACACAGTTAACGAATTCCTCTCCATCCAAAGATGGTAAGAACTGCCAATGCTGGAGTCAGAGATAACACCATGTGGAGCTGGAGGAACACAGCAGGCCAGGCAGCATCAGAGGAGCAGGAAAGCTGATGTTTCAGGTCAGGACCCTTCTTCAGAAAGATCTGAGATCTCCTTACAAATTTGCTTCACAATTTCCTGATGACTATTGGGGGCCTGTAATACAATCCCAATAAGGTGATTGTCTCTTTCTTATATCTCAGTTCCATCCAAATAACTTCACTGGGCATATTCCCAGGAATATCCTCCCTAAGTACAGCTGGAATGCTATCCCTAACTTAAAAACGCTACTCCCCCTCCTCTCTTGTTCCCTTTTCTATCCTTCCTGTAGCATCTATATCCTGGCTACTTCAGTTTAGGAAACCTGATCAGCCAAATGGTCTGTTTCCACACTGTATGACTCTAGAGAAGGAAATCCGCCATCCCTATGTGGTCTGGTCTACATGTGACCCAGACCCACAGGGATGTGGTTGATTTTTCACTGATCTCTGAAATGGTCTTGGCAGTAGTTGGGGATGGGCGATAAATGTTGGCCTTGTCAGTGATGCTCACTTTTTTTTTAAAAAATGTTGAGAGTTTGGGACAAGGCTGGATCCTAAATCAAACCCAGCGCGTCTTCCACACCCCTCTGCCCAAATATGCAAACACTCTGTTTTTACTTTGGTCCACAGCAGGCTAGCTGGATATTGCGAAGATGATTGGTGACAGGAGAGGAGGATGGTGAATGTTTTCAGTTTGAATGATGCAGGTGATTTTGGATCTATGGTTTCCAAAGCTGTACAGAGTGAAACAGCCACTGGGCATTTTTCTCACCTTGTGTATGAGCCTGCATTAGATTAATTAATCAAGCTCTGGTCAACAACTCGACTGTTGTTGCATAACTCAATTACTAGGATGGTAGAATTTGATGGATGTTATGCTTTATCCAACCAGCAACTCCTGTATTCATTTCAGAATAGAAAACTGGAGAATGGAGAGGTCAAACTTAGCCAGTTAGTTGGGAAATGCATTTCCTCATAAATTGGGTGAAATTCGGCAGAAACTGAACGCGGGATTGACACCAATCACTGACCGGTCCTGACTTTTTAAAAAATTTAATTGATTTTGTGATTTCAGAAGCTAAGTGTTTCTCTTCCTTTGGTACAAGAAATGAGAACTGGAATGGGAGTTCCAAGAGTCCACTGCCCTTCACTGGAACATTTCAGAACACAGTATCTCATTCCACAGAAACCTGTCATACTGGAGGGAATTGTTGATCACTGGCCTGCTGTGAGGGATTGTAAATGGAGGTATGTATAGGCATTGAGAATCTCCAACATATTAAAAATTGGTTAAACTGTAAGTGAGCTCCATCTTTCCTATTAAATAAAGAGAATAAAATGCCATATTATTGCAACAATACAGTACTAATTCTGTACCATTGTTAAGTTGTAAAGGACGTTTTTCTGGAGCTGCAGTACATCTTTGCAAGCCTTTTGGGGTGAATGTTTGATTAATGAGCACTAATTATCCTATCTGCAGTAACCTTACAGCGTAGTGATACCATGCATCATGGTAGCAACAGACCAGTCATTTTTCTTCCGTTAACAATATCCAAGTCCTTCCAATCCAAGCATAGCAGCAGTGCAGTGCGACTTTTGTTTCTGCCCTGGTGCTGCACCCAGAGAATGCAGACCATGGAGAAAGACTAGGTACTGTATAGGATTAAATTCCGATATTTTTACCTCAGTACATGATTCCAGATCAGCCTGAAGGAAAAGAAGTGCCCATTTGGAGGAAATATTGGTAGTGTAGTACCTCTTATCTTTCATTCAGATTTCTTGGTTAAACCATCATCCTAGATAGAAAATCAACAGTTTTCTGTGCTAGAAATGTCAAATAGCATAGAGAGAACTTTAGTATGTATTTAATCAATGGTATAACTGCCCTGGCAGTGTTAAATTTGTTACTGCACCCAGGCATTCTCAGGATTGAAGTCGTTCAGTATATTAGGTGACTTGTATTCAGCCATAAATATCCTGACTTTCATAGAGAAATTGACTGTGTTCTTCGCAGCGTGGAGTACATCCGTGAAATCGCAGGCTGTCGCACTGTGCCAGTAGAATTGGGTTCTCGTTACACAGATGAACAATGGTCCCAGACCCTGATGACTGTGAATGAATTCACTGAGAAATATATTTTGGACCAGGTCAGTTTCCCGATATCAATAAAAACGGAAAGAACTGCGGATGCTGTAAATCAGGAACAAAAATAGAAGTTGCTGGAAAAGCTCAGCAGGTCTGACAGCATCTGTGAAGAAAAAAATCAGAGTTAATGTTTCGGGTCCGGTGACCCTTCCTCAGAAATGGAGTTCTGAGGAAGGGTCACCGGACTCAAAACGTTAACTTTGATTTGTTTTTCTTCACAAATGCTGCCAGACCTGCTGAGCTTTGCCAGCAACTTCTGTTTTTGTTCCCGATATCAATAGTTGTTTGAAGCCAATGTGTTCCTAATGTTAAGTAATTTTAAAAGCCAGCTAATACATCCATGCTATCTGCAATATAATTTTAATTGCATACCAATGTTTCTGAAATTGAGGAATAATGGTACAGAATTTATAGATTTTGAAAACAAGTCATCAATAGAAAAGCTGAAGATGCTGACACTTTCAAGGAACTCCTTTCTATACCTACACGATACTTATTCTCATTCATGCCTTTGTTATCTCAAGGGTCAACCTATTTTTCTCTAATTCCCTGCAGTCATCCATCTTAGGTGTGCTTCTGATTGTCACTCGTTGCGTACTCCTCATTATACCCTGATCTCGAGAATTCTCACCCTTTTGGCTTACAGTCTCTCCTTAGAGCTTTCTGAACTCCATCTCATCATCCATCATCTTGGTTCTGCTTTCTAACATCTTTCACATTTTCTCTGAATCTCCACTGCTCAGATGCCCTCTGTTCTGTGATGCTTTCTGTCAGTGGAGAACACTGCAGTGTAAATGCTGAATGATTTTATTATCATATAAACCCCAGTCTTGCATAACGGCATCGTGTTTTCTGGAACTCTAGCTAACTGAGCAATTCTAACTTGCAGTTTAACTGGAAATCTTGATGTGTTTATTGGAACTGATTCCACACAAATGGAGATATTGACCACTGAGTATGTATAGAGCTGATAGCACGGACTACACACTATATGTTACTTGCCCAATCACTAATGTGTAACATGTAATTGTTGAATTTCTGATTCCTCCTACAGGTGGAGCAGGAGCCCATTGGATATCTAGCACAACATCAACTATTTGAACAGGTGAGGCATTTTCTCTGTACAAACTATTCCATAACTGCCAGCAGCATCTGGCCAACTCATCCACTGTTTGTGTAAACCTGGATAGAGTTGATTTTTTTTTACATGTTGAGCTGGTTAAACTAAGTTTGTTTTTTTCTGTAGATCCCAGAGTTGCGACAGGACATCGACATACCAGATTACTGTTGTCTAGGAGACACTGATGAAGATGAGATCACCATAAGCGCCTGGTTTGGGCCCATGGGAACAATTTCACCCTTACACCAGGACCCACAACAAAACTTCCTGACACAGGTTAGTGCAGAAACAAAATCAACATATACTGCAAATACATATTGGCATTGAAGCAAGATAGGGCCAGACTAGGGTGAGTGGCCTAAGGTAATGGCTAAATTGTGGTGAGATCCAAGGAACAGCCAAAACCCATCATCGAGGGCAGGACCAAAGTTAAAAAGAATTGGAGAAAAGCTGAAGTTTGTTGGTAACAACTTCATCAGTTCTGAAGAAGAGTTATGTTGTACTTGAAACATTAACTCTGTTTCTCTGTCCATAGTTGCTGCCAGACCTGTTGAGTTTCTCCCACGGTTTTGGGTTTTATTACTGAATTCTGGCAACCACAGAATTTTGCCTTTAACTTTTGAATTAAATTGTAACATTATGGGGACAAATCCAATTAAGCTACAATAACCAGGGTAGTTTTCAGACATCAATTAATAACAAGCCATCCAGGCTGCAAAGTGCAAACAAAACCCCAGAATTATTTAATAAAATGACTGGACTAAAAAATAACCAATGATTACCCTACCCTTTGCCTGTATAGTGAAGTATTATCGTAAGAGTTAAGTCTACATGATAAAGGTGAAAATGAAATGTGAAGGAGACAGGGAGTTTGTCAACATAAAGTCATCATATAGTCTGCACTGTGCCATTTAAAGTTCTTGCAACTTCAGTTTGAAGCAGATGATTTTCTGGCCACCAGGCTTGCTCTAGTTGGTGGCTGCTTTCCACACTGCAGTGAGAACCCAGTATCATCATGGAGACTATGTTGTGTCTTTTATATACAGTGCCACCAAACTTTAGTCAAGGGGTGGGATGTTGAATGATAATGAAAGGTTTGTTAGCATTATGTTGACTATGTACCTAATCAGGTGCTCTTATCATTTACAGACACCTAGAGGGATTAGATGTTAATTTGCAAGTGATGATCCAATTTGAACCACACTCCAGTGGAAAATGTTAGTTTTCTAGTAGGAGATCTTGTAAAATTTTCTCTTCTGTGTGTGCGTGTATTTGAGTCTATGTGCACATATTTCTGTAAGTGTGCATGGTGCGTGCACACACTCTCACCAGTTGTCTGAATTCACAAAGATAGAATGACCACTTGTGTTAGGCCCAAGAGGCAACTACTGACACCACTAAGAGCAGGTAAACAGTCTACTACACAGTTTCTTTTATCTGTATGAGAAACATTAAACCATTCTCTCTCTTGCAGGTGGTGGGACAGAAATATATCCGTCTGTATTCCCCAGCAGAAACTGCAAGACTGTATCCCCATCCAACCCAGCTATTGCACAACACCAGCCAGGTAAGAAAGCAGCTTTCTGATGTTGGGAGGAGCTAAAGTACAGGATTACAGAAGTGGGCAGAGAGGAGTGATGTCATTGGGGCTGACATAGCCTTAGTTATGAAGCAGATAAATGATCAGAAGTTTAGTTCAGGGCATTATAGGGCAAAAGGTGTATAAAGTCTGGTACAGCTTTAGATGGTTGCCTCTGATTGGGTAATCATGCAGTGAGATGTGAAGGCAGGGAATTGAATCTAGTGAATGGACAGTGTATTAGTCCTATGGTCCTAGCTAACCACGGATATATTGACTTTCTGATTAGGCTGATTAAACTGATCCCAGCTTCAGCTTACCAGTATTTCTGTTATTTTCAGGTGGATGTGGAGAACCCAGATTTGGTCAATTTTCCAGAGTTTAAATTGGCTGATTTCCAGGAATGCATACTGAGGCCAGGAGAGGTCCTGTTTATCCCAATGAAGTACTGGCATTATGTGAGGTCGCTGGACATTAGCTTCTCTGTCAGTTTCTGGTGGTCCTGACTCTTCTCACGTTGAATAGATGAAGTGTGAGCCATTGAGTCGTGGGCAGTTTCTCAGTCCTGGAGCTTAATATGGCAGAAGAGAATTTCAACAACCAACCAAGACAGGAGAGAACCAGAAGGGAAAACACAGAGCGGGAATGAGGCTGAAACAGAATGAGAAAAATGAAAGCAAGAGATGCAGACTGATTGAGAAAGCAATAGTGAGATGAATAGAAAGTGATCGAGAGAGAAAGTAAGGAAAGAACAAGATATGGAGTAAAAGCTGGTCTGACATCATATGCATACTTGAGCATTAATCTGCAATTGATCAAAAAGTGAATTTCTCAGTGCAGCTGCTGATTTCCCTTCAGATTAAACCACATCTCACCATCAGGACCAGACCACAGCTGAATGTGGTTTATTCGATATCCTCTTGTGTGTGCAGTGAAAGATCAGAGATTTTTCCAGGACTGACAACAAACATTTCTTTAGTCACACCACTAAGCAACTGTTAAAGAATCGAGTTCATGAAGGATGCCATAAAATGTTCTCTTAGCTGGGTGAAAAGGCAGTTTAGTATTCTTACTGGGAAAAGAGAAGTTCTTCAAATGCAGAAAACTTCCCTGGCTCCCTGCAATGAAAGTATGTAACACCTGGAGATGATACTGTCTAAAGAGGTGCTATGTTTATAACGTCAGCACAACATGCTGAAGAGTTCCCTGTCAGTTCATCCAGCGAACGACCCCACAAGGTCGTGTTCTTCAGTGATTTGCCGTTCTTCCTGCCCTAACTTTGGCAGTAGTTTATAACATTAGCACTGGCTGGAATATCCTTTGGCTGAGGAGTTTAATCACTTCCCTGCTCAGCACATCTAAAAGATCCCAGGCATTGTTCAATGATCAGAGTTCTGTCCCTGTCCTTCCTTTAACCAGCAGAATACTTGGGTAACTTATCTCACTGCTGTTCGTTAGTATTTTGCTCAGTGCTAATGGACCACTTTATTTCCCCACAGAATAACATTGACTGATACAATGTCATCCATCACTTGTGAAACATTTTGAAATATTTCTGAGACATGCAGTGTGCTCAATACATGTGCGTGCTCAATACATGTGCGTGCTCAATACAT